CAGGCGTCCATATACGTTTGGCAATATAGTGTGTGTATATAATTGTGGGAGGGGGTGGAGCCAGGTACATAAGAGAGCGAAGGTTCACAAATGATTTAGCAGAATATGGCAACAAAACCATGCATGGGGCCGCATATTTGTGCTTCCATGGGGCCACATTATTGCGTACCTGTCTTTGTGCTGGGAATGCGCCAAACTTAGAGCCCCAGGTCCTGTTCTAACGATCGGGACCTGGGACTCCCGATTCCGGGTCACATGATTGCTGTGATAGCCTCTGATTGGCTATCACAGCGATCAGTCACTGTGCAGCTTGACCTCCTTGTTTTTTTTCTCTCTATGAATGGAGAAGAGGGAGACATTGTATCTCTCTAACTCCTGGCATACAGAGAAAAAAAAATGTTTATAAAAAAAAAATATAAATATTAGAAAATACCTAGATCACGGTTTGATCTAGTTCAGTGCCAGGGTTATTGTTTGAGTCAGGGTCAAAAAAAAATTGGTATCAATGTCAGTGTGTTTCAGGTAAAAAAATAAGACAAAATGCGCACTATTGTTTCTGGGCTGTACTACGGGTACAAACAACAAATAACATACACATATATGGTATCGCTGCAATCGTCAAGAGCTGGAGAATTTATTTTGGGTTGTTCTTTGGTGGTGGGTTATGGTAGTAACAAACACACAGCTAAATAAAAAAAATTATTTTTTTTTGTACTATTTTGGGCCAGATTTCTTTTGATGATAGAAAAAAAAAAAAATCAGGAGATATCCATTACCATTTACCACCAAAGGAAAGCCCAAATTGTCCTGAAAAAAACGCGGTATAATTCACCTGGATGTACTAAGTAGTTGTGATGATATGTATGGTTTTACTAACACGTCAACGTTGCAAAATTATGCTTTAGGCATTTTGATTTGTTTTACCCTTAGGCGTGAAGGGGTTAAAATGCAATATACAGGTGCATCTCAATAAATTAGACTATCATCAAAAATTTCATTTGTTTCAATAATTCAATTTAAAAAGTGAAACTCATATATTCTATAGATTTATTACACACACATATATTTCAAGCATTTCCTTCTTTCAATTTTGGTGTTTATGACTTTTTGCCTGACCTAAACCCCATAGGGAATCTGTGGGGTATTGTCAAGAGAAAGATGAGACACCAGACCCAACAATGCAGACGAGCTAAAGGCCGCTATCAAAGCAACCCGGGCTTCCATAACATGTCAGCAGTACCACAGGCTGATTGCCTCCATGCCACGCCGCAATGATGCAGTAATTCAAGCAAAAGGAGCCCAAACCAAGTATTGAGTGCATACTCTACTGTACATGCACATACTTTTCAGTAAGCCAACATTTCTCCATTTGAAAGTACTTTTTTTTTTTTTTTTTATTGAGTTTATGTAATATTCTAATTTTCTGAGATACTGAATTTTGGGTTTTCACTAGCTGTGAGCCATAATCATCAAAATTAAAAGAAAGAAAAGCTTGAAGTATATCACTCTGTGTGTAATGAATCTATATGAGTTTCACTTTTTGAATTGAATTACTGAAATAAACTTTTGATGATATTCTAATTTGAGATGCACCTGTAGCAAGAGTTACCGTATTTTTTCGCTCCATAAGACGCACCTGACCATAAGACGCACCTAGGTTTTAGAGGCGAAAAACAAGAAAAAATATTCTGAACCAATGGACTGCAGACATAGTACAGGGGATGACCAGAGACTGCGGACACAGTACAGGAGATGACCAGAGACTGCGGACACAGTACAGGAGATGACCAGAGACTGCGGACACAGTACAGGAGATGACCAGGGACTGCGGACACAGTACAGGAAATGACCAGAGACTGGGGACACAGTACAGGAGATGACCAGAGACTGCGGACACAGTACAGGAAATGACCAGAGACTGGGGACACAGTACAGGAGATGACCAGAGACTGCGGACACAGTGCAGGAGATGACCAGAGACTGCGGACACAGTGCAGGAGATGACCAGAGACTGCGGACACAGTGCAGGAGATGACCAGAGACTGCGGACACAGTGCAGGAGATGACCAGAGACTGCGGACACAGTGCAGGAGATGACCAGAGACTGCGGACACAGTGCAGGAGATGACCAGAGACTGCGGACACAGTGCAGGAGATGACCAGAGACTGCGGACACAGTGCAGGAGATGACCAGAGACTGCGGACACAGTGCAGGAGATGACCAGAGACTGCGGACACAGTGCAGGAGATGACCAGAGACTGCGGACACAGTGCAGGAGATGACCAGAGACTGCGGACACAGTGCAGGAGATGACCAGAGACTGCGGACACAGTGCAGGAGATGACCAGAGACTGCGGACACAGTGCAGGAGATGACCAGAGACTGCGGACACAGTGCAGGAGATGACCAGAGACTGCGGACACAGTGCAGGAGATGACCAGAGACTGCGGACACAGTGCAGGAGATGACCAGAGACTGCGGACACAGTGCAGGAGATGACAGAGACTGCGGACACAGTGCAGGAGATGACCAGAGACTGCGGACACAGTGCAGGAGATGACCAGAGACTGCGGACACAGTGCAGGAGATGACCAGAGACTGCGGACACAGTGCAGGAGATGACCAGAGACTGCGGACACAGTGCAGGAGATGACCAGAGACTGCGGACACAGTGCAGGAGATGACCAGAGACTGCGGACACAGTGCAGGAGATGACCAGAGACTGCGGACACAGTGCAGGAGATGACCAGAGACTGCGGACACAGTGCAGGAGATGACCAGAGACTGCGGACACAGTGCAGGAGATGACCAGAGACTGCGGACACAGTGCAGGAGATGACCAGAGACTGCGGACACAGTGCAGGAGATGACCAGAGACTGCGGACACAGTGCAGGAGATGACCAGAGACTGCGGACACAGTGCAGGAGATGACCAGAGACTGCGGACACAGTGCAGGAGATGACCAGAGACTGCGGACACAGTGCAGGAGATGACCAGAGACTGCGGACACAGTGCAGGAGATGACCAGAGACTGCGGACACAGTGCAGGAGATGACCAGAGACTGCGGACACAGTGCAGGAGATGACCAGAGACTGCGGACACAGTGCAGGAGATGACCAGAGACTGCGGACACAGTGCAGGAGATGACCAGAGACTGCGGACACAGTGCAGGAGATGACCAGAGACTGCGGACACAGTGCAGGAGATGACCAGAGACTGCGGACACAGTGCAGGAGATGACCAGAGACTGCGGACACAGTGCAGGAGATGACCAGAGACTGCGGACACAGTGCAGGGAATGACCAGAGACTGCAGACAGTGCAGGGGATGACCAGAGACTGCAGACAGTGCAGGGGATGACCAGAGACTGCAGACAGTGCAGGGGATGACCAGAGACTGCAGACAGTGCAGGGGATGACCAGAGACTGCAGACAGTGCAGGGATGACCAGAGACTGCAGACAGTGCAGGAGATGACCAGAGACTGCGGACACAGTGCAGGAGATGACCAGAGACTGCGGACACAGTGCAGGAGATGACCAGAGACTGCGGACACAGTGCAGGAGATGACCAGAGACTGCGGACACAGTGCAGGAGATGACCAGAGACTGCGGACACAGTGCAGGAGATGACCAGAGACTGCGGACACAGTGCAGGAGATGACCAGAGACTGCGGACACAGTGCAGGAGATGACCAGAGACTGCGGACACAGTGCAGGAGATGACCAGAGACTGCGGACACAGTGCAGGAGATGACCAGAGACTGCGGACACAGTGCAGGAGATGACCAGAGACTGCGGACACAGTGCAGGAGATGACCAGAGACTGCGGACACAGTGCAGGAGATGACCAGAGACTGCGGACACAGTGCAGGAGATGACCAGAGACTGCGGACACAGTGCAGGAGATGACCAGAGACTGCGGACACAGTGCAGGAGATGACCAGAGACTGCGGACACAGTGCAGGAGATGACCAGAGACTGCGGACACAGTGCAGGAGATGACCAGAGACTGCGGACACAGTGCAGGAGATGACCAGAGACTGCGGACACAGTGCAGGAGATGACCAGAGACTGCGGACACAGTGCAGGAGATGACCAGAGACTGCGGACACAGTGCAGGGGATGACCAGAGACTGCAGACAGTGCAGGGGATGACCAGAGACTGCAGACAGTGCAGGGGATGACCAGAGACTGCAGACAGTGCAGGGGATGACCAGAGACTGCAGACAGTGCAGGGGATGACCAGAGACTGCAGACAGTGCAGGGGATGACCAGAGACTGCAGACAGTGCAGGGGATGACCAGAGACTGCAGACAGTGCAGGGGATGACCAGAGACTGCTGACCTTTGGGGAGGGAGGGGGAGCGGGTACCTGAATTTGACAGGTAATCGCTCCCACTTCCGCGGAGTTGTCCTTCCCTCTTCTTCCCGGGCCGGCTTCTGTGACAGCCGGGTGCCCACTGCGCATGCGCGAGAAGCGCTGCGCTTTGTGAATGGCCCGGCGCCTTCTGGGACCTGTCATGTGTCCCAGAAGACACCTGATCATTCACAAAGTGCAGCACATGCGCAGTGGGCACCCGGCTGTCACAGAAGCCAGCGCGGGAAGACTGTGCAGAGCTGGAGCGAGGAACAGGTAAGGCCCTGCAGGAGACAACAGCTGAGCGGCCGGCCCGGTATTCTGACATGGTGGCGGCACAAATACCGGACCGGCCGCTTTATATTCGCTCCATAAGACGCACTGACATTTTCACCCCTTTTTTTGGGGGAAAAAGTGCGTCTTATAGAGCGAAAAATACGGTATATTCAAGTCGGGACCCCAGCATTCCAAGGCCATAGTACTAGCACTTAAAAGATACTGTTTATAATACAGCTTTCTTTTTTTTGATGTTGGTCTTTGCATGTTACACCCAGCAGTCTATATTTCCAGAAATATGTTAGAAGCTTCTTAATGTGCTATAAATAGCAATGAAAGTGATTTGATTTGAGTGGATCCTTATTTGAAGACTCCTGTATGATTATTATGGCCTTGTTTTGACAGGCAGAGGCAAGATTGGCAGCAAAGAGAGCAGCGCGGGCTGAAGCAAGAGAAATTCGAATGAAAGAGCTAGAGCGACAACAGAAAGAGGTAAGAGCAAAATATACATCCATCCCTGTTTGTATGTACAACGTTACATTCTGCTGTCCTTTCATTTTTCATTTGGGTTGGGGGAATGGAGGAGCCTGGGTTCTACACCTTCATTTAAAGCTGAACTTCAGACAAATTGCTAAATACACAGATGAAACCTATACACACAAGGTGGTATCAAAATGTTTCGGTCACAAGGAGCACTGACCTTGATACGTCACTGTGCCAAAAGACATCATCCTGCGTACATCTGGAGCTGTGCAACTGGTGCTACTCTGGCCACATGCGTTACCACGTTTGCTATTTCATTATGGACAGCAAGTTAGAACAAAGGCAAACATGAAATTACACTACTCTCCTTGACATTCCATTATCTGTTCCCCCCCCCCCCCCCAACCTTCCCAAGACTGATACTTTGTTCAGGTATCATCCATGGTCAGTATCTACATACAGACCTGTGATCATGGTCCGAAGATGTTAATCATGATGCTTTTATAGTAGTTTAATTTTTCACAGTATGTAACCTTTTCTCACACTGCTAGACAATATAAAGCTAGCTGTACACACATAGATTTCACCATCCCTGCTAAACCGCATAGGTGGAGGCATCTCCTTTGCTGGCTATTGTATTCAATCAGTCTCAGTCATGACATCCGTGGCTGCTTGAATACCTGAACAGTGACTGCATCTGAAAGTTGCAGTCTCTGTTCAGCCAACTGTTTTTTTCACCTCGCTTCTTTGAACTGAGTGGTGCTGAGAGGGCTACACACAGCTCTTATTTTCGCTGATTCATCATGAATTCAAGCTGTCTATAGCTAACAAATAGTCACTATTTCCTGAAACAGACCATGATTCAAACCTGGGCAGATTCGCTTAGAGCAGTGGTTCTCAACCTTTCTAATGCCGCGACCCCTTAATACAGTTCCTCATGTTGTGGTGACCCCCAACCATAAAATTATTTTCATTGCTACTTCATAACTGTAATTTTGCAGTGGGAGGAGTAGTGCCATGTCATTGGTGTCAGTGGAAGGAGTAGTGCCCCATCACTGATGTCAGTGGGATGAATAGTGCCCCATTGTTGGTATCAGTGGGAGGAATAGTGTCCCATCATTGGTATCAGTGGGAGGAATAGTGCCCCATCGTTGGTATCAGTGGGAGGAATAGTGCCCCATCATTGGTGTCAGTGGGATGAATAGTGCCCCATCACTGGTGTCAGTGGGAGGAATAGTGCCCCATCACTGATGTCAGTGGGATGCATAGTGCCCCATCACTGGTGTCAGTGGGAGGAATAGTGCCCCATCACTGATGTCAGTGGGATGCATAGTGCCCCATCGTTGGTATCAGTGGGAGGAATAGTGCCCCATCACTGATGTCAGTGGGATGAATAGTGCCCCATCACTGGTGTCAGTGGGAGGAATAGTGCCCCATCGTTGGTGTCAGTGGAGGAATAGTGCCCCATCGTTGGTGTCAGTGGGAGGAATAGTGCCCCATCGTTGGTGTCAGTGGGAGGAATAGTGCCCCATCGTTGGTGTCAGTGGGAGGAATAGTGCCCCATCGTTGGTGTCAGTGGGAGGAATAGTGCCCCATCGTTGGTGTCAGTGGGAGGAATAGTGCCCCATCGTTGGTGTCAGTGGGAGGAATAGTGCCCCATCGTTGGTGTCAGTGGGAGGAATAGTGCCCCATCGTTGGTGTCAGTGGGAGGAATAGTGCCCCATCGTTGGTATCAGTGGGAGGAATAGTGCCACATCGTTGGTGTCAGTGGGAGGAATAGTGCCCCATCATTGATGTCAGTGTGGTGGAGGGAGCATAGTGCCCCATCATTGGGGTTAGTGGGGGGAGGAATAGTGCCCCATCGTTGGTGTCAGTGGGGGGAGGAATAGTGCCCCATCGTTGGTGTCAGTGGGGGGAGGAATAGTGCCCCATCGTTGGTGTCAGTGGGGGGAGGAATAGTGCCCCATCGTTGGTGTCAGTGGGGGGAGGAATAGTGCCCCATCGTTGGTGTCAGTGGGGGGAGGAATAGTGCCCCATCGTTGGTGTCAGTGGGGGGAGGAATAGTGCCCCATCGTTGGTGTCAGTGGGGGAGGAATAGTGCCCCATCGTTGGTATTAGTGACACAAATGATGGGGCACTATTCCTCCCACTGACACCAATGATACTTACTTTGCTGACCCCTGCTCCAGCCTGGGCTCGCTCTCTCACTTACCTGTCAGCTGTCTTCCTTCTCTGGCCGCTCTCCTCTTCACTCGCTCCGGCAGCTCCCTCGGTCTTCTTTGATGTACGCGCGCTGCCGCTCGGCTCCTCTCCAAGCTCCACCTCCTCGCCGGTGATTGGCCGCCTGTGTGCCTCTCCTGAGCTACAGTTCCGGTGGCCAATCAGCGGCGAGGAGTGGAGCTGCTGAGCGATCCCGGAGGTGTGGCCAGGTGACAGCAGCGTATCATCCCGCCCACACATCGCCGGAGACTGCAGCGGTGTCTCGGTTCCTAAGACCATCGGAAATATGTGTTTTCCGATGGTCTTAGGCGACCCCTGGGAAATGGTCGTTCGACCCCCAAAGGGGGTCGCGACCCCCAGGTTGAGAACCGCTGCTATAAGACATTGTCAAGCTTTTTTTCTTTTAGCGTAAAAAAAAAAAGCCTTCAGATTTGCCCAACAACAGAGAGAGCAACAACCGTGTGTAGATTGAATTGTTTCCCTAAACCAGTGTTTCTCAAGTGTTTTTAGCACCCTTTAAAATCCTGCACAATCTCAAGGAACCCCATTCTAAAATATAAAAAAGCAAAGTAATAGTTCTATGAAATGCAGCAACATCCACACACATTGGACACCCAATATTAGAGGTAATTTTATTCTTCCAAAGAAAACACTTTTGCACATTGATACTGATACTAGTATTCCAATGTTTTGTTTTTTTTCCCCTCACTCAGCTAATGTGACCCCAATGCTGACCGAAAAGGGCAGTGTAAGGGCAAACCAAGATGCTGTGCAGGCGCCCGGTGTCCTTTTCTACCAATGATGTCATTAGTTGTTAGGATGCCAGTGGGCAGAAGGTTGTAATGGTTCACAATGAAAACCTGTGGCTTTGTGTAACTAAAAGGCAGGTTTGATCCACCCCACTGGCTTATATACAGTTTTTGAGCAATTTGTAGGCATTTTGCCAAGGCGCCCTGTTTGAAGAAGGCTGCCTTAAACAGTTATATTCAAGGCATGCCATGAGAGAGAACTGTCACACTTGCTTGTGCTCCCAATCAAACGGTCAAGCCATCAAATGTCTGGTGTCATAACTGATCACATGTGCAGCACCAAGGAAATTGCAAATCAAACAGAGGCTAAGGTGGCAGCTTCCTTGACTGTAAAGGATAGGAGTGTTTAGTTCTTTAAGGGCCCATTCACACCCATATGTGTTGTCCAATGCATAAACAAGGCTGTTTGCTTCCTGTTAATGTGTTACAGTTGGCATGCACTATATAGGATACGTTTTTGTGCAGCACAGTGTGTTGTGACTCGATATAGTGTTATGGGTTGTAACAACGCATGGCTCCACCCCTACACAGTGCAAACCAGCAGGTGTGTGCTATACAGAGCATAGCATGTGCGTGATGTGGGGAACTAGCCCTTTACCACAAGCTATATCCAGTCAGTTTCTTTACTTATTCCTTGTTTTTTTCTGTTGAGATTTGTGTTTTTAAACCTCTGACACATCAAAGGAAGAGGGAATAGCTTCACAGGAAGGAGATTCATTTTTGCAACATGACAACATTGACACATTAATGTCAATCAGAGGAGCTGAAAAAGTATTACTTCATCAGGAGAGCCTCCAACTGCCATAGAGGAGCTGTGCAGTGACCTACAAGAATGAAATGCCCACTTGACCAACAATGTCCATTTCCTGCTATTAAAGCTCAGTACAGTATGGATCAAATGTTATGCTCTGTAGATGATATAAATTATTTAAAAGCTGATAGGAGCACTCTATCAGCTATTCTTGCCTGTTTTTCTTTTCATTGGACGTTATCAAAATCTGAAATTAATTGCAAATTGTCTGCAACATGAAATTCCTGAGGAAGGGTTAGTCATGCTAGTAATGTATTTCTGCACCTTCATACAGTTTTCTGAAATCTTTCCTTATCAGACAGAGGAGAAGCTTCAAACTGAGCTGAATGCGAGAAGGTGTTGTAAGCTTTGGTGTGGTTATTACTCAGCAAAGAAATATTATAGCAAGGTTTTTTAATATTCTTCATTATCTACTTGGGAGGTGATACCAGTAATAAAAGTAGTATTGAATCATAAGATGTTTAACATTAGTTACTACTGAAGATGTGTTTTATAACTATGGCTAATGTTTTACCATATTAATCAGACAATTTTATTTTTGGATGGCTGTACTATATAATAGTTTATAAAAAGCTGTCATCCGGGAACCCAAGCTAGAAGTATATTTCTGGATAGCAGACCAGAATCATTTACAGCTCCCCACAATGTTCCTGCTCCCTGTTCATGCTGGGATCAGTGATGGATACTGGCTTTATAAGTGTCAAATGAGGAACTAAACTCCTTGGGACGATGGTACACAACATGACTTAGTCATGTTTTCAAATCTTAAAAGTGCTTGGCACGCAAATTTTGCATCCTCTTTTGGGTAGCCCTCCTGCTTCTCCAGTTAGGCCTTAAGACAAGCTCACATTCTTTCTTTTCTTTCTCACTTTTTTCTCTCTTTACTTTGCGCCCACATTGTGGTTGCCATCTTACCATGTTTCTTTTTTCTTATATATTGCACAACGGCGATTTATATCAGTCAATTTACTGGAATCAATGAAGGTCCTTTGGTCGCTTTTTTTCAATGTATGTGAAGCTTTATGGGTTTTGTCCTTGAAGATGCTACAACTCCATTATGATATATTTTATGCTGCTGTTTTAGTTTTCCCTTTTTGTGGCCCTACCTATATGCCGCTGCTATACCCAGATTATGATTACGCCAACGGCCTATTCTATTCAACGGTTTC